TCTGGCTTTCCCTTTTATAGGGAAACCCTAGCGCTGAGTTGTCGAAAGGCTGTCGACAGCCTATGAGAAGCTCGTCTGCACTCGAGGAGCTTGCCTGAAAGTTCTCGAGCTCACCTGCGCTCAACTTCGGGCTCGCCAGCAGATCCATGAGCTCGCTCTCGCCTGCTTTGCGTCGAGCTCGCCTGACATCGTTCCTCGCCCGAAGCATGCCTACAGATCTCGTCGAGACCTCGCCTGAAGCCACGAACTCGCTTGCGTGGGGTTCTCGAGCTCGCCTGACTCGCCCACGAGCTCGCCTGAAGGTCGCCATCGTCTCAAGCTCGCCTGCAGCTTTGGTCTACACTCAAACTAACAATCTCCCACTTGGAGATCAAACCGCCGTCACCAAGCTATCCAAATAAACACCTCCTTCTGTGTGGCTCCGCCTTCATCACCTATGCATGAAGACCAACTAAAGTTGCGCACAACTCTAGTTTCTGAAAGGTCACTGCTTTTGTCAATATATCCGCTGGATTCTTACTTCATTGGATATTCTGTTGAAATCCTTTGACAACTTGTCGGGCTCTGTATCTTCTGGAACTATCCTATTCCTTTTTCACTCGATACACCCACTTGTTGTGATGTGTCTTCTTTCCCATGGGCAACTCAGCTAGTTCTCATGTCTGGTTAGAGATCAAAGATTTCATCTCTTCTTTCATGGCAAGCTCTCACTTGCTCGCATCTCCACTCTGACAAGCTTCATCATAGCTTTTAGGCTCCCCTCCATCTGTCAGCAACATATAATTCATGTATATGTTGTTAGGCACAGGAGGACGAGAAGTTTTTCTCAATATCGGAGATGATGTGTCGGGCTCCTGCATACCGTTCTGTCCAACAGGCTCTTCTGGCTGAGGACCTTCTGCATTGGGTTCTTCCGAGAGGTTACTCGGGATATCATCTGCATCTACAAATATTGACTCGCTCTCTGAGTCATCTGTCTTGTGCATGTCCTTGTACATCACCTTTTCGTTGAATATCACATCTCTACTCCAGATCACCTTCTTGTTTTCGTTGTCCCAAATACAGTAGCCGAACTCATCTTCACCATACCCGATGAATGTACATTTCTTAGACTTAGGATTAAGCTTATTCCTACCTTGATCACTAATATGCACATACGCTACACAACCGAAAACTTTGAGATGTGAGAGGCTTACCTCCTTTCCGCACCATATCTCCTCTGGTATTCTGTGCTCCAATGGAATCGATGGACCTCGATTGATCAAGTAAGCTGGTGTGTTGACTGCTTCTGTCTAGAACTATTTCGATAGACCTGACTACATCCGGATGCTTCTGGCTCTCTCTGTCAATATTCTATTCATCCGCTCAGCCACACCATTGTGCTGAGGCGTGCTGGACACAATTCTCTCCATTCTGATCCCGTGCTCATAGCAGAACTTCTTGAATCTGGTATCTTCATACTCACCACCATTGTCTGTTTAGAGTTTCTTTATTCTCAGACTGGTCTCATTCTCGAGCATGGCTTTCCATCTCCTGAAAGCCTCAAATACTTCTAACTTATACTTCAGAAAGTAGACTCATATTTTCCGAGAGTGATCATCGATAAAAGTCACGAAGTAGTATTTCCCACTAATGGACGAGGTGGTGGTTGGTCCCTAAACATCCGAGTGAACGAGCTCTAGCTTCTCTTTCCTAGGGGTTCCGCTACTTATCTGAAACCTGACCCTCTTCTGCTTTCCAAGTATGCATTCTTTACACATATCAATCTCTACTGATTGTAAACCTGGGAGTTTTCTATTTTTGTGCATAATCTTCATCCCATTTTCACTCATATGACTGAGTCTCTGGTGCCATAACTTTAAAGTCTCATTGGCAGCTGCAACTGAGATTAAACAACGTGCACCCGTTGTCATATACATGGTATCATTCTTCTTGTTTCGGGCAATCGTCATTGCACCCTTCGAAATCCTCCAATCATCATCATGGAAAGTCATAGTGTAACCTTCACTAGCCAGCTGACTTACTGAGATTAAGTTCTTTTTCAGGTAGGGAATATGTCTGACATCCTTCAGCTCTCATACTGACCCGTTCAACTTAATCTTCACTACACCTTTGTCAATAATGACAATGGTTGATCATCACCAATGTATACATTTCTAAGGTTTTCGGGATATGCTCTAGAGTCCAACACCCAAGACTCCTCCTTGCTCTCCAAAGAGCATATCAATGCATCATCTCCTCCTGAGGTGGAAGCAACATTTACATCTGCCTTCGCCTCCCTCCTTCTGTGCACTCTTGCACTGATTCTTGTAGTGCCCAGTTTTCCCGTACTTCCAACACTCGATAGCCTTCGAACTGCTGAGATTCCTGAATTTGGACCTCCTGTCCTTTGATCCATTTCCTCTAGTTGAATTTCTATCTCTTGATTCTGTATGCAATATTGAAGAGGTTGTAGCTTTACCCGACTCTCTTCGTCAGATCTCCTCACTGAGAACCAGATCACGAACGTCATCGAACTTTAACTTGTTACTTCCCGACGAGCTACTCACAGCTATGACTGTAGCATTCCAGCTTTCTGGTAGGGAAGACAAAATGATCAATGCTCGTACTTCTTCATCAAACTCAATATCAACTGAACTCAATTGGGTCATGACTGTATTGAGTTCATTGAGATGATGTGCTAATGATGCACCTTCTGTCATTCACAGATTGAATAATCGCCTCATCAAATAAACTTTGCTTGAGGCTGATGAGACATGTCTGTGACCAACACTTGAGAGGGTGTAGAGTGAGATTGCTAGAGTGGTGATTGTAAAGTTTTCGGTTAGCTAGAAAACCGAGTGTGAGGTGTAAACGTTGTTCGGATAAGCGTAGACAACCCGATTGTGTTAGTGGATTTCTCCCCGGGAGTGGGGAGCAGAGACGTAGGACGAAATGTCCGAACTTCGTGATCATTTCGTGTATTTGAGTTTGCTTTGACGCACTTTCTCTTATATTTATATTTCTTGTCACCATTATCCATTGCTCATTATTTATATCATCCACTATCTAGTTTAGATTGTTTACCTTTGTGTTCATTGTATATCCTCGCATATATCTTACAGTATATATCATTGCTAGGATATTGCTCTTTGTTCATATTGCTTATTTTTGCTTGTAACATATTGTATATCTATCTTGCAAGAATAATTCTTTAGTAAGTTTTAATTGGTATAAAATCGGATTAGATTAGCATAAGACCTAATCACCCCTCCTCTAGGGTCTAACAATTACAATTTCTTCAAATAACACACAATAGATGTTTATCGTCTATTGTTTGCGTGGGAACTTCGCCTGTACCGGAGACGTTGATATCCGTGGACCGTCGCGGATCAGATTTGATTGATAGATTGATAATCAAAGCTCCTACTTCACGAAGGAAGTATTCGTAGCAGCGGTAATCTCGACCAAGCGAGATTACAGTTCTTCTCGAGATTAAGACCAAGCTTAAATCCGGAGGAATGAGGGGGAAATAGGTCTCAGATCTCTCGAACTCTTTTTTTTTTGAGAAACTTCGCTAAGATCTGCTAACCCTCTGAAATTTGTGCTTCACTCTCTAATTTGGCAGCACCTCGCCCTCTTGATCTCCGCCCTCTGAAATGAGCCCCTAGGCCTGTATTTATAGGCTTCGGTTGGAGGGTTTTCAGATAAGAACGATGGATTTGGTCTTATCCCTAGTTGACAACTGTATAACCACGTATATAAATAACATCTAGACAGTTAGGAACATCTGGAACAGAAGAAATCCCGTGAAAACTCGTCGAAAACTGTCAAAACGCATTTTCGGATTGAATCTAGCTGAACCGGGTGCAAAACGA